AGCCTCACCTTTTCAGTCTCGGGTGGGGTCCTGGTGTTTGCATTGTTAATGAAGTTGGAAGGAGAGGAGGATCTTGGTGGCCGCCAACTTTGGGAACCACTGGCCTAGCACAGCTAACCCTGGGTTGTGCTTACCAGACTTTAAATAGTTGGTAATGTTAATAGAAAATACTTATCTTTAAATGGACTTTCTTGCAATTGTGAAGTATTACAAAGTCAAAGGAACAACTCCTGGTTTGAGAAATATCAGAGCTGGAAATTTTCAGTCTGTTCCATGGTTTCTAAGCTTGTGCAAATAACATTTAAATTGTGAAAATGACTTTCAGAGAAAAAACATTTTATATAATTCCTGCCTTTGGGAAAACAGGAGATTGAAAGAAAATCAGCAGGCTGAAGCAGAAACAATATCCAGTGAGAGGCTTCCAAAAGTCTATAGATTTTCTGGGATCAGAAGAGAATGTTTAATTCAGAAACCCTGAGTGGTTACTGTGGTCTAGGCACTATTTTAGGTATTTGTTATAGCTGTGTAGGAATGGAATCAGAATTTTGTCGGGGAGATGGACAAGAAAGCAGTGCACTGTAGTAAGTGGTGTCCAAAGCTTAAAAAAGTGGTTGTAGAAAACTGCAGTTAGAAAGTAACAAGTGAGTTGGATCTTGTGTTGGGTAAGAACTGGCCAGGTTCAGGAAAGAGGATGGGAGACAAGACTACACAAACTTAAAGAGTTATGAGAACTTAGGAAGGACTTGGAAGTCATGGCCAGGGTGTGGAAATCATGGACTAGATGGATTGCTAAATGTGGCCAGGCAGAGGAGAGAAGCCACATGTAGACTTCATTTTGCAGGCTGTCAGCTAAGACATTTAAATAGAGAAGTGGAAGCCCTTTCGTTTTGTTGATAGTTTCCTTTGCTGTGCAAAAGCTTTTTAGTTTGATGTAGTCCCATTTGTTTATTTTTGCTTTGGTTTCCCTTGCCTGAGGAGCCATGTGAGAAATATTACTAAGATTGATGTCAGAAAGAATTCTGTGTATGTTTTCTTCTAGAAGGTATGGTTTCAGGTCTTACGTTTAAGTCTTTAATCCATTTTGAGTTTACTGATCTATGAGTCTGTTTTTGTGCCAGTACCATACTATTTTGATGGCTGTGGCTTTGTAGCATGGTTTGAAATTAGGGAGCATGATACCTCCAGCTTTGTTCTTCTTTCTTAAGATTATTTTGGCTATTTGGAGTCTTTTGTGTTCCCATAAAAATTTTAGAATTATTTGTCCTTGTTCTGTGAAAAATGCTATTGGTATTTTGATAGGGATTTCATTGACTCTGTAGATTGCCTTGGGTAATATGGTCATTTTAACAATATTTCTTCCAGTTTACTTGGGGAGCTTGTAGTGTGTTTAATGCCCAGGCTACACACACAACCAATGACATCAGACTCTCTGGGGCGGGGGGAGGTGGGGTGGGAAGGACCAGTCATCAGTATTTATTTTTATTTTTAAAAGCTTCCCAGTGATTCCAATGTCTAGCAAGGTTGGGAAACACTATTCTTAGCAAATTCTTGACCATGTGCCCAGCAGGTTCTCTGCCTTAGGATGCAGGGCTTGGTGAGCTTAGAACGGCAATAATCACAGGGCTGGCAGGTGTTGTCCAGGGGTTGGGATCCCCCTATTCCAGGACAGAGATTCTCTCCCTAACAGTATGTTGCTTATCTCTTCTTTTTTTTTTTTCTGGACTTTGCAGAGCAAAAAAGTGTAGCAGAAACCATGACCTCAGGAGTGCTCAGAGTTGGAGAAAATAGGAAATAATGGAGCTATACTGTAAAGAGTGTTAATTCATCTAATTTTGAACAGCTGGAAAGCTGCTTAACATTATGTCACATAAAAGGAATTAAGTCACCTGAGATGTTTGTAACATATGGGGAAGAAAGTGTGTTTGTGGGATAAACTCTGAATTTTCAAAAATAACTACCTACTTCTGTATTGTTCTAAATCAGTGTGCTGATCAGATAAAATTTAAAGTACAAAGGTGAAAAGTTAGTCCCTCTACCCTTTTTCCACTTCTCAGTGTTTATATTTGCTTATATACTTCTCTAGAAGATTTGTAAACATATGCAAACAGGGTTTTGTTCCTTTTTAAACATAAAGTAGGATCCATTTTCTCCCTGGGCTTTGTTGTTAAGTGTAATTTGTCAGTAAGTAAAAGCTAGTATTTTGGCATTGGTTGGAATCCTCTCAGGAAAGTGACTGATGGGACAGAAGGTGGCATTCTAACCCTCAGAGAACTTACCTTTCTTTGCAGAGGAGAACAGAGATCAGTTCGGTTCAGTAGATGTGTAAGGAAGGACATTGTAAAATGAGTAGGAGTAGCCAGACATGGTGTTAGAGTTGAGCTGGACCAAGAATTAGGTTTTAGAAGAGGGGTAAGATTTGACTAGGTGGACCAGACAGGGATGGTGGTAATGAGGGAGAGCTTGAGCAGAGATAGAGAGGCAGGAATTAGTTAATCTTTTTTACATAACGGAGTTGGCCCAGTGTGGAGGCCACATGGAATTGGCGTATAATGATGTTCTTCTTAACCCTTATTTTGGTAAAAAGATAATTGCTTTCCAATAACCATCTCCCTCTTTTTTTCTTTCTTTACTTTTAGGAAAACTACAAACAGATGAAAGCACTAGTAAATCAACTCCATGAGCGAGCACAGAAAATAAGACTAGGTAAGCACTCATTTATTCTTCAGTTTATGCTTTTAGTTAAGATGTTCCTTTATAATTATTGGTTTTAGAAAAAACCAGTAGCATTAAGCTTTTCACTCTTCAAGACTGTGCATTTAGTATTGGTGGAAATGTAAATTGGCTCAGCCACTGTGGAAAACGGTATGGAAGTTCCTTAAAAAACTAAAAATAGAGTTTCCATATGATCCAGCAATCCCACTCCTTGGCATATATCTAGAAAAGATGAAAGCTCTAATTCAAAACCATGCACCCCGATGTTCATAATAACACTATTTATAATTGCCAACACATGGAAACAACTCATATGCCCAACCATGGACGATTGGTTTAAGAATGGCAGATGGACAGAGAGAGCATCTAAAGTTGTCTGTTCATTTGTATAGGTAGAAGGGAAGAAGTAAGCTTGGTATTTTGAGCTTTGTAGAATTTTGAGAGTGGACTGATTTGTTCCTCTAATAGTTAAATAACTTGGGTCTAGTTACTTAATCCTTCTTGTAAATTTTCAGTACCTCATTCATAACTTGAGACTTAGGAGTGGGTCTGTGAATTATAGGCATTATTTACATCAAGCGCACATTTCTGTCTTCTTCTGACTTAATAGATTAATCAAAATTAATTGATAAGACCCCCAAATAAACCTGTTTGGAGTATCTTGATCTCTCTCTCTTTTTTTTTTTTTTTTTTTACTATAGCTGGTTAGTGTCAAAATCAATTAAATCCTCTGAAAGCTACCATGACCTGAACAAACATAGAACTCAGTGTGGGACCAGTTGAAGCAGAGATCTCATTCAGATGGCAGTAACTGCTCCTGTTTTATGAGGGTGTAACGGAGAAAAAAGAAAAAAAAAATGAAGCCTCCATCACTTTATATAGCTCCTTCTAGCTTAGATATTTGTAATAAATGAAGAATATTATTTTGAAAATAGCTGTATTTGGTCTCTATGGTTTCAAGTCACAGTAATCTGTATCAAACTTGTTTAATCCATAAGGTGACATTTGGTGCTTTTTGTAACCAAACCATAGAAAGACAGTGCTTACTGGACCCGAGGGCCCCGATCCTTCCAGGACTCACTGTCTTTGCCCACCTTCTCTCATCTCAGGATGTGCCTCTGTGTGTGGACCGCATTCTCTTCTGGCTTCTCTGAGGTGGGGAAGTAGGTTGTTGACAGTCCAGGGATTATACACTCTTACAGTTTACGATCTGAAGGAAAGATCTAGTTATTCTTTCATCTCCAATTTGGAAAACTTTGATGTGCTCACTTGGGTCCCATGTTCACTCCTTGGCCCAGTCACTGTGTCCAGGGTGTGGTACTTAACCTGACCCATGCGCACTAGGGCTCGAGGATCCTGTGGCTGGCAGCTCCTGGAACTTCGTGATGGTGGCAGTACTGTTTTCAGGAAAAGAAGAAAGGAAAGCAAGCAGTCAAAAGGCAAAGAATGTCAATTATGCTGTCCCCAGACCACCCTGTTTTCTCTCTAGTGAGAGGGGCTGTGTAAGTAGGAGGATGTCTTGTGAAAACAGTGGTGGTGGCAATTTGTCATTCTTTTTGAGCAGTTACCTTTTTGCGGGGTGGGGAACGGGTAGGTTGTTAGGTTTGTTTGTTTGTTTATTTATTATGGAGGCGCTGGGGGTTGAATCCAGGACCTCATGCATGTGCTCTAACACTAGAGCTATTTCCTCCCCCCAACCAGGTACCTCTTGAAGCTCTGTTCTAGTGTGAGGAAGTGGTAAAAAATGACATGAGTTTTTGTCTATTAGGTATGATTTGAGAGGCAAAATATTCTGCTGGTAGTCTTTTCAGAAAGTTGACTAGAATCATACTCTTGCAGCCATTCTGTAATAAGGCATTGTCTCCTGAAAAAGAACCAAAAGCCTTGCTGAAATGAAAGTATATTTTGTTAGGGAGTGGTATTGATGAAATGATTATTCCCTTCGGATATTAAGATGACTGGGTTTGAATAAGAGAGGTGGTAGAGTCCTCCAGCACTGAGCACCTGTGGGGATGGTGGGTTCTGCTCAGATGACAGTTTGGTAAAGGAAAAGAGTGGACTGAGCAGGGCTCCTTGGGGAGTGAAACCAGGAAAGGACAGCCTTCTTGGCAGTGTTGCCTAGAATTGGTCCTGTTATGCCAGGAAAATGGGTGTTACACAAGCACATGTAATTTAAAAGTAATATAAACTTGTATAATATATATGTATATAAATAACAGAAATTTTGGAAAGTAAAGTATAAAGAAGAAACAAACAAAAAAATCACCCATCAGTAATCTCTCTAAATATACACTTCTGATGCAGTTCTAGTGAGTCTCATAAAAACATTAACAACAAAATGTGTGCATGTGTGTTTGTGTGGTTTTTGTTTGGAGGATTTTGTGCACTTCGCCCTGAGTATTTTCTTCGATTTTGTGAATGCCTGTAAGGTTAGCTCAGTAATTGTGTTGATCAGGAGCTGGTAATTTTCAGAAAGAGGAAGGGGCATTGTTTCAGATTGCTTTGGAAGTTAACCCTTGTCGTTTTCATTTGAGAGAACTTGCAATAAATAGAAAGACTGACGATGGATGGAATCTTGCTTGTCCTCCTTTTTGTCTTTTCCTTCCTTCCTGCCTCACTGCTACTTTTGTTTCAGGTTTCTTCTGAGGGCACTGTCTTTGCTCTCCCTTCTGGTTCCTGTTAGAGCATATAAGATTGCTTGAGGAGTGGTTTAGTCATTTCTGTAGGTTGGACAAGGATGATCCCAGCTGTGTTGCTCATGGTAGCCAGAACCGAGTACTTTAACACAAGTTAATTGAAGGGCTGTTAGTGTTTTGATAGATTCAGCAGTGCTGATAGATACAGCAGTTTTTCTAAAACTGGGTAATAACTTTATTGATACAGAAAAGCAAATTGTTTTGGTGGTTGGAACAGGGGTCTTTTAATGACCTTAAGATAAGGCTTATGTGGTTTTTGAAAGCATTTTAAAATGGATGTTAAACTCCATGCATATAGTTCTAGCAATGCATATAGCACCATTGAAGTGACCACGGCTGGACACTTGTGCTGTGCATGCCGAGGCAGACAGCCGTGTTGTTCGACTGCCCCCTGGCGACAGTAATGGAAAGACGCTATAAACTGTAAAATGCCCCCTGATTTTCAGGAATGTTAAAATGTGAACAAAATGTGTGTGTCTCAGAATCAGTGCAATATGATAGATGAGACTGAAGGAAAACATCAGGCTTGTCTGACTCTGAGTCTGGGAGTTGAAAAAATTAATGCAAAATCTTTAAGAGTAATCCTTGGAAAACTAAGGCACCATGTCATGCTGTCTTTTCGTGGTGGTCCACATATCCTAGGCCAAGTTTAAATGCCGAGGAGCTGAATTCATGATCTGAGAATCTGCATCATATTTTTCCTAATAAAACCAGAATTTTCCAGGTGCTCTAAATAGCAAGCTCTAGTCAGATTTAAGAAAAATGTTGTTCTAAGTACTTAAAAGAAAATAAATATATTTTATCACTTCTTTTTCATCCCACCCTCCCCTGCCGCTCTTTTCCCTGCTAGCCCCTTAGTGGACACATTTCACCTGATTCTCCAGAGATCTTCATTCAAGCCTCATTCATTTTTCTGTAATAGTTATATTTAAACAACTTTAATAAGGTTTAAATGACATACAGTAAACTGCATTATTTAAAGTGTACAATTTGATGAGCTTTGACATATGTATACCTCCATGAAACTGTTGCCACAGTCAAGATAATGAACGTGTCACTCTCGGAAGTTTCTTCTGCTCCTGTGTCACCCTCCCGTCCTCCCTCTCTCTCCTCTCTCCAACCCCTAAACAACCTCAGTAGGGAACTCTGAATTCCCTGTGGTTAGGAGAAAAGAGAAAAGCTGTTTGATTTAATTCACACTGTCTTGTAAGTCTTTCCCTCCCAGGATTATTTTCATTTTAAAAGATTGGATTATGATATGATTTTCTTGGTTACTTTAAGGCAGATTTAATCTTAAAAATATGCTTTTCACCTCTTTAGAAAAAAAAACAAAATCCCCTTAGATAACAGGAGAGAGTACTGATTTGAAAATAAGGTCGTGCCACTTGGTAACTGGTTTGAAATCAGTATGAACTTACTAAGAAAACAAAGAAATAGCTTTCTCAAATAGCTGAACGTTTTGGTAGGTAAGGAGTCCACTAAGGTGAAATTCTTGGGCAACAGTGAAGATGAAGGTATTAAGGTACAATCTGATCCTCTTTTCTGATCTGTTACCTTGGTTTGCTGAGAGCAGGTTATAGTCTCCAGGTACTGAGCCGGCTGCTCTCAGACTGGGTGAGGTTTGGTGCACCTCTCACCTCAAGCAGCCTCCTCGGGCCTCCTCAGCAGACTTTCAATTACTGTAATTGTCTGGAGCAACATGAGGAAACGCTGAAGACGGTCTGTGAGTCAGGATACTAACAAAAAGGGCCTTTTAAATTGCTGTGCAAGGTGTTGAGCTCTTGCCTGTTTGAGGGCCTAAAATGTTATGGGTCGCTAAATGGAACCTTTAGCTAAGTTTTGCTGTGATTATCATGGAAGTTATTTCTAAAATAATGTTGTTGCCTGGTACAAATGAAGTTAGGAATTTTTTAAAGTTTCACATAGCATATGGTACAGTGCTAGATTTTTATAGGTCTTCAGTAAACGTGGTAGAGATGTGGCAAGGCATGTATTTGCAATGCATGAGATGCAGAGAAAATACTATACTATTTCCTTAAGTAATTACTGCTGAACTTAGAGAATGTGTGATATACTATGGGATCAGGGAAAGATTGATTTTAAAAAATGCTGGTTTGGATGATCTGAAAAATTAGCTGTTTTTCAAGGATGTGTTTAACTTTTACAAAGTAGTCTATTTTGGACTAAGTGTTATATGTTTTTCTGGGGTCAAGTTAATGGAGACCTTGTAGTGTATCCATTTAATCTAATAACGTTTTTTCTCTCAGGAGGTGGTGAGAAAGCCCGGGCACGTCACGTATCAAGAGGAAAACTGTTACCTAGAGAAAGAGTCGACTGTCTTCTAGACCCAGGGTTGGTACATACCTAAGTGCTGGCTCAGGGTGTTCCATAGTCCATGGTACTTTCTTAGATAGTTTTGTAAATAAATGATTTTAAATTCCGGTTTGTATTGTAAAATTCAACCACAAATGTTTATTGCGAGGCGACTATGTGTCAGGTGAGGTTTTAGGTGGTAGTGAGACTTCAGCAAACAAAATAGACAAAGATCCTTGCCCTGCTGGAGTTTACATTGTAGCAAGAGGAGACAGAAAATAAATGATAAGTGTCATAAATTTTATGTTACATAATATGTGTTAAAAGGTGATAAATGTCATGAGGGGAGAAAGAAGGTAGACCTGGGTATGAGAGAGAAAGGTGAAGGTCAAGTTGCAGTTTTAAATGAGTGGTTAGAATAGGCAGCCTCATTGAGGGGGTGACATTTGAGCTGTGATTGGAAGGAGTGAAGAGCGTTGGCCCTGTCAGTGCCTGGGGAGAGAGTGTTGCAGGCAGAGGGAGTGACCAGTGCACAGGTTCTGAGGTGGGAGAGTGTCACACGTGCTGATAAGCTCAAGGAGCCAGGAGGGAGTGAAGAAGTCGCAGAAGAAGGGGGCAAATTTCGTAGGGCCTCATGGGCCAGTGTAAGAGTTTTGGCATTTACTTTGAAAGAAATGGGAAGACCTTGTAGGATTTGAAACAGGAGACTGTTAACAATCTATCTGACTTATGTTTTAGAAGAGTTATTCTGGCTGCTGTCTTGTGAGTAGACTGTGGGCAGCAAGGGTGGAAGCACCAAGACCAGTCAGAGAGAAAGAAATGAAGACTCAAAAGCATTGTTTCTTAAGACATGCGCACACACTCCCAGCCTGGAGATAAACACTGTTAACACCAAGTGTGTATCCTTCTACACTTTTGTTATGCACCTGTGTGTCAGACACATTTTTTTTTAAAGAAAAATGGAGTCATACTACATGTGGTGTTTTTTTTTGACTTATTTATTTTGTTGTTGTTGTTGAGGGGGGAAGTAATTAGGTTTATTGATTGATTTAAATGGAGGTACTGGGGATTGAACCCAGGACCTCGTGCATGCTAAGCCTGCACTCACTCTACCCTTGAGCTATACCCTCCCCTCCTTATGTGGTGTTTTATAACCCCCTTTTTCCCCACTTAATTTATCTTGAACATTCAAGTAAGAGAGAGAGAATAAGTGGTTAAGAGCCTGGTCCCTTATTAAAGAGCTTATTAAAACCCAGTTCTGCCATTTACTAGTAGTTGTGGGACCTTAGACGACTGACCTAATCTCTGTGTTTCAGTTTCCTCATCAGTCAGTGGGGATCATAATAGGATCCATTTCAGAAGGTAGTTCTGAGGAGTAACTGAGTTAGTGTTTCTGAAGCTCCTAGGATAGGGGCTGACATGCGATAAGTGCCATGTAAGTGTTAGGTGCTATTCTCTTTCTATCTTAATAAACACATCTGTACAACAGCTTTAAAAATAAGTCCCTAGTGTGCCTTTGTATGGCTATCCTGTATAAATCCCCAAAGTGGTCATGCTGGATTTTGTTTTAGATCCTTTTCTTTTTGTAGACTTTATGTACAACATGTGTATTTGAAATCTTACCCCATTAAAGAAAAAGTGTCTTTTCCTTGTGTAACTGTTTTTTTTTTTTTTGCCGCAAGCACATAAACTAGGTTTTATTCGTTCCACTGAATCCTTGTGTAACTGTTGAAATATGATTTTTTAAAAATGACATTAATTCAGGCAGCATCGTTTCTTCCCTTCAGGTCTCCATTCCTGGAATTATCCCAGTTTGCAGGTTATCAGTTGTATGGTGATGAGGAGGTCCCAGCAGGTGGCATTATTACAGGCATTGGGAGAGTGTCAGGGTGAGTATTCTGCCTACGGCCAACCACATGGGTCAGGAAGAGGGCCGGCGATGAGGCACGAGCAGCCAGCACCCACTGCTTTGTGTGTGAGCATGCTAGTGGTATTATTTAGGACTGAGGCTTCCTAACCAGGCAGGTGTTACATTAATCCGTGGAGATTTAGGGGCAAACATTAAAGGGAAAACCCCCAGCAGTGATTGGGGGACCCAATCCAGACCGACATGCTTAATCAGTATGTGTAGTTTTCCAAGATTGTGCAGGTGATCTGTTGTACATCTAGAGTGAAAACCATTGTGCTAGAGGAGTAGTTTCTACATGTGGTCCCTAGGGAGCATCAGCATCGCCTGAGAACTTGTTAGAAGTGTCGATTATCAGGTCTTCCCAAGAAGTACTGAATCAAATTCTGGGTGTGGGGCCCCGAAATCAGTGTTTTAACAAGCTCTCTAAGTTCTCGAAAGCTTATGTTCGAGAACCACTGTAGACTTAGGGACTCTAGATTGCTAGATGTGGCATTTATTTGTATATATGTACGTATGACCTTTCAGTTACCATGCCAGGTACTGTAGTAAACACTTCCCACTGACTGCTTGTCTCAGTCGTCTCCACAGGTCTGTGAGAAGGGGTATTGTTATAGTCACCTCCATTCTGCAGACAAGGAAACTGGCTTAGAGAGTTAAATAACTTGCCCAAGGTCAAACCACTGGCAAAACTCGGCTTTGAGGTTAAGCAGGTGGACCCTGAGCCTGATGCAGTTGCATTTGAGTCAGAGTCTAGTTTATGATGCATGTTCCTCCACCTTCTCCCCATGGTCTGTGCCCTCAGAGGAGGTACGACTTCTAGCCATTCACCATGGTTGCTTCTTGCTTGCTTCCTTCCTTAACGCCCAAACCTACCCCATGGCTCTTTGCCACGTGTACTTTGCGTAACGTTCACCCAGTGTGGAGACGTTTCTGTCCTTGGAATCTTAGAGGACACTTACAAATAAACTTTAAAAAAATGATAATGCAGAATTAAACTAAATTTATAGATCATAATGAAGGAAGTTACGCTTAATTATACCTCCAGGCATAATGACTGTCAACATGTTGGAACATGCTCTTCTACTTTTCCTATGATATACTAATTTTTTAGTATTGTTTATGCTTTTATACCTTTTATTATTTTCTGGCTTCATGCTTTATTCTCAGTTATCAAGTTCTTGATTTGGAAGGAGATTGAATTACACTTGAAAATGGTACAGGTTCAGGAGTCATCATCCTCAGAATCGTGGCTCCAGCATTTTGTAGCACTTTGACCTTTAGCAGATTGCTTTGACCTCTCAGTACCTCATCTGTAAAATACGATTCTTTGTAAAATGGAATAATAATAGTAGCTATTGGAGAGGATTTGAGATTAGATGAGAAGATTAAATGAGTCAAGTGAAATCTTTAGGATAGTGCTGGCATGTAGTAACAAGTTAATAAATGATGCCTGTTAAAAACTACCATTTCCAGCATATAGTAGGAATTATTGGATGAGAGAGTGATGAGAGTTATACAAAAAGCCAGAATCAGAGGGGAGAAACATTCACCCCAAATCCTATCATCTAACATATCAAACATCTTATTTTCTGTTTCTCTCAACTTATTGACCATATCCTCCAGTCCTTCTGGAAATCTTGTTGGTCCTACTCAGAAATATCTCTCAGGTCCCTCCACTTTCCTCATTTCCACTGCTACTACTTCAGTCCAGGCTATCCTGTCTCTCACCTGGTCTACCATGGTGACTAGACTGAGTAACTGGTCTACCAGCTTCCTTCTGCTGCTTCCCTGTGATCAGTTTTCCACATAGCATCCAAAGTGATCTTAAAAAAAAATTGCAGCTCTGATCATTTAAGTACTGCCCTGCTTAAAACCTTCCAGCTGCTTCTTGTTGCTCTTGAAGTTATCTTATGTGTTATTTTGGTTCCAAGGCCCTACATGATCTGGCTTTTTGCTCTCTCTTCAGCTCACTTTATTTCCTACCACTTTTCATAGTCTCATTGCGTTTCTGATAGTTCTTTGAACTTGTCAACTTTCTATATTGCCCAGGACTTTTGTACTTTTCCTTTCCCTTGTGAAATGGCTGACTTCTTCTTTTCTTTTACCTCTCAGCTCAAATATCCCCTTCGCAGAGTCTTTCTCAGATGTTTCTGTCTGAGCAAGCTCCTAGTTCACTAGTCTGTCACAACATCCTATTTATTTCCTGAAGTACTCATTGTCCTCTAATGATCTTGTTTAATTTGTATGATTTTTTTTTTTCACTATCTTCCCTCTCCATGGAATACAAACTTCATGAAGGGCAGGACTTTGTATTTTTCAACTCTGGTGTCTAGACCAATACCTGGCATGTAGTAGGCATTCAATAGATATTTCTTAAATCAGTGTACATTTTATGATCACAGCACAGAGAGAATTTAGTGCTTTGCTATATTAACCAAGTGTTTTTTTGACATTTATAACTTTCATTGGTTTGTCTTGTGCTATCAATTTGTAACCATAGAAACATTGTTAGACTCTTCTGTTTTCCCCCAATTTTTGCTATTTTAAAACACAGTATAGTAAATGGATGTCTTGGTGCATATAATATTTTCCTCTTTTAATTATTTCTTTAGTTCCAAGAAATGGAAATATTTAAATGGACTAATAATTTTAATGTAGTTGATACAAATCTTTTGAAAATATGGGCTGTTTTAATTGCTGCTGGTATTCACCTTATGTAAGTGTACTAGGTATTTTTTGTGTTGTTGTTTGTTTTTGCTTTATTTGTACACCACCTAATTCCAAAGAATAGTTACAACTGTTGACAAAATGTCATAAAATAGCAGAAGATGGCATAAATAAAAAATAAGACTGAAGTTAGGAGAAAAAATGAGGCTGGAGTCAAAACCTAGGAATAATATAATTCTTCCTAAGATGACTAACATTAATCTAAGACATCTGTTGGAGATCTAAGAATTTTGCTGGCAATTCTCAAGTCATTCACTTGACTTGACATGAGTAATATCCTGTCAGACTATTCTAGGCTGGAGAAGGTTAGATGTTCCCTACCCTCCCTGCTCTTGCTTTAGGATCATGAGTCAACTACACAGAAACATCCATTCCTAAGAGTACAGTTGTACTCTTGATATTGAGAGTAGACAGGCAGTGGTGAGTGAATGAGCAGGTGAGTCCCTGTTCTTTACTGCATGATCATGATCATTGGCAGTGTCAGCCTGGAACTTTTCAGCTAAGGCCATTAAAAAAGTCATTTAACTCTTTTATACCTTTAATGCTCTTTTATACATTTTTGGGTAGTGTTAGAGATACTGATTTAGGCTCCATGATAAGTTCTGAAATTGACACCAAGAAAACCTGTCATATGGAATTTATTTATAGACCAGTTTAGCATCAAGGGACCAGTTTTGCCTCCAGTAGTAGCTAGCTGAAGAGGAATTGAGCTGTAGCCCTTCTGGCAAATTCAGATTCCTCACCATGGCTTATGAGGTCCTATAAGATCTGATCCCTGCCTTCTTTCCTTGCCTTACCGTTTTATGTGTAACCTGTCAGCCACCCTGGTCTTGCTGTTTCTTGCCTGTGCTAAACTCATTTTTACCCTAGGAACTGTATTCAAGCTCTTTCTCTGCATGAAATGTTCTTCATTTGATTCTTGGAGTGCCTGGCTGCTTCTTATCCCCTCAGATTTCCCGTGCCCAGTGCTTTGGAACATGCACTCTAAGGCCAGACTGCATGGACTCAACTCCTGGCTATATTGCTTGGTAGTTGGTGACCGTGGGCCGGTTGCTTAATTTCTCTCGGCCTGTTTTCCCATCTGTAAAGGAGGGTTTATGGAAAGCCTAAGACCTAGAGACTGGTACCTAGAGACTGTCATACAAGTATGGGCTGCTGCTGCTGTTGTTGTTATTCTTTGACTGTGCTACCCGAACATAGCCACCACCACAATTACCTTGTTTTATTATTCCTTTCACCTTGCTTTATTATATCTTATTTTATGACTAGTAATAATAATAATTGTAGAAATTGTATTACCTTGTTTTATTATTCCTTCATAGCCCTTGCAGTCAGATTATCTTTGTGTATTTGTTGTTCATTATTTACTTCCCCTAACTGATCCTCCCCAGTAGAATGGAAACTCTGTGAAATCAGGGAGCTTGCCCTCCTTGTTCACCTGTGTCCTTAGTACCTAGAATGGGACGTGGCACATAGAAGGCTCTGAAAAAAAGTATTTGTTGGGTGAAAGAATGGATGACAGGAATTAACTTAGAGGCCAAATTATCTGTTGTGGTTATTTTCAGAATGACATAGTGAAATTGTATCATACGTACAGGACAATGCTGTGTTGTTGTTTTCTCTAGCTGGGGGTAGGAGTGGAGTCCTCCTTATTCCACAGAGATATTGAAGAGACAGAGAGATAGGGGCCAGAGCACCGCCTTGTGTAGTTCCACTGCAAATTTTAAACTTTGTAATTAGAAATCTTCTCACAGACACCCGCTCTCTGAGGTTGTTCTCCGTGAACATCAGTTGCCAGGGTTCCATACTGCATGTGCATTTTAGCTCATGAGACTCCCTTCCTTGGCAAGGGCCAAGGCAAGACCGATTTTGCCTTTTCACTAGAGCTGCTCTAGTGTTGAATATTATGACTGAACAAGACTTCAGTCATTTAAAAGGTACAGAGTAGTCCTTCATTGTAATTTAAATGGACCTTTCTTACATAATTCGTATGATTGAATACTGCCAGCACTCCTTCTCTGGCAAATGATTGATACTAAAACTAGTTTAAACAAAAAAAGAATTTATTGACTCTCTTAACTGGTAAGTTAGGGCATAGCTGGATCTAGGAGCTCAAACAGGGTTATTGGGTCACTGGCTGGTTTTGGTTTTGTTCCTAGACGGGCTGTTCAAGCCCCAGTGCAGAGCTGGCCAGGCATCCTGGGCTTCTGTTCTGTAGGCTCAGCTTCTGCAGCAGAGGGAGAGCCCCTAAGAGAACGGACGGGGACCGAAGCCCATTGCTGAGCCGCATTTGGGGTCGGAGTGGACAGGCCTGCTTCTCGTGCTAACTTTGAAGATGGGCTTTGGGGACAGTCCCACTAGAACCACATGGATTAAAAATAGAGAAGAGGCATCTTCTGAAAGAAAGTTTAGTTTTGTTGCCAAAAGAATAGATCCTAGGCAGGCAAAACCAGCAGAAGCTCAATACAGTATTTTTGTGGGCTAGTTTTACTTCTCATTCTGTAACATGTCTGTGACATTTTAATAAGACACATAAAAGTGGTTGTGTCTCTGGTCGAAGGTCACATATGTAGCAAGTGACAGAGCCAGAATTTCAGCCTCGCTTTGTCTGGCTTCATAGCCTGGGCTCTTCCCTGTACCGGCGGTTCCTGAGCTGTTCTGGTGCAGCCCCCCCAGGACAGGGAGGTGCGACCGTACTCTGGAGGTGTGGGCTTATGGCCTGGCAGCCCGCCGTAAGCCTAAATTCCTTTCGAAGTCCTAGTTTGTTTAATGTTAAAGTCATTAAAAATTTTCATCCCACTCCGTAAAATGTTAATTATAATATAGAGAAAGGCTTTAAATGACCTGGTGAATAAAACTGATGCTCCAAGGAGAGGAGCCCTGGTGTCTCATGGTGAGCACTGCTGCTGGCTACATACCTAATAAAATGTACGGCACTTCCTGTGGCCGCAGGCTCAGATACTGTTCCCTACTTCATTTTCAGCGAGGATTCAGTGAGGTACTTTTTAGATATCCAGAGAATATAAAGTGAGGTAACAAAAACCTCATAAATATAAGATTAAATTGTGTAAAGACCACACTGTTGTTCTCTCAAGTTTCAAGTGAGCCTCTAATCTTTCGGTTTCCTGGCAGTATGAAGCAGCCTCCCTTATCGGCCCCCAGGATCCTCATCATTCACTTCCCCGCTCCTTGTGTGTTACTGGTGGGCCGTGGTTTTGGTGAGAAAGGATACCACTGATGACTCATTATAGTGTACGTTTTCAGTATACCGTTCTGAAGTTTACACCTATTATTACTTTAAGCAAGAAGGATGTTATACTTTAAACTTCTTTTTGTTTTATAGAAAAGCGAATGGTGGTAACATGAAGAACTTCTGAAAATATGAAAAATAAATACATGGATCACTTTTTATTTTTGAAAATTACATTCCTGAAAGGAAATTTTTAAGGTTTATCATGAGGGATTTTTCTGTCCCTGAGTCTTAGATTTTTATTTTGTTTTGTTTTGTATTATTACCTTGTTAGGACCCTTTCATTCAAGAGCCATTATGAAATGTAGCTTAGGTTGTTAGTTTTTCACTACTTAGATGGGCTAATGATTCTTTAAAAATAAACATGAGTTTGTAAACTTGTTAAAAGTGATTCATTTTATATCATATTATATCAATGAAATGTGAACTGTGATTGAAGTTTTTATATCATAAGATTGTCTACTAATGGCAGTCACTAGAAGTTGCACGTTGTATTGGAGTGTCTTGTAATGAGATGTAAATTGCTCTTTACTTTGAAGAAATCTCTCATACTGTCTTTCCAATCAAATTTCTGCCTTTCAGAGTAGAATGCATGATTGTTGCCAATGATGCCACCGTCAAAGGAGGTACCTACTACCCAGTGACTGTGAAAAAGCATTTACGAGCACAAGAAATTGCGATGCAAAACAGGCTCCCCTGCATTTACTTGGGCAAGTCACAAGAATTGTAAAATAAACTATAATTAGCTAGAAAAATACAAGATTGTTTGGAAGGCTATATATTTGACATCATCGTGGGTATCTTTAAAAACTGTTGGTTTTACCCATAATTATAAAAGAAATGCATATTCTTTGCTGAAAACTCTGGGAGAAAAAATAAGCAAGAACTACGCATAATAGCATCCCTAAGGGGGAATTCTGACAATATTTTGTTGTTTGCCATTTTTTCCTCTACATGTGTGGTTTTTTCTTCTTATATGTTTTGTTTTTCTGTTCACCATAATGAGTTCAAACTATGAAAAATAATAGCTAGTATTGATGGATCTCCTGAGTGCCAGGTACTGTGTTAAATGCTTGAGTATGTACATAATTTGAGCAGATGTACTTTAAAGGAATTTAGTTTTCAATGAAAGTACATTTATATTTAAATCTAAAGACATTTCAAAAAGAACATAAAAGCAAGGCAGTTTAAAATTGGCATTTCCTGTATTTTAGTTTAATTTGTGAAGATGCCAGTATATATTGTTCATTTATGTGGATATTTGAATAGGTACTGATGTGATATTTTTTTCTGTGAAAGTGAATTTACCTGACTGACTCAGCCTGTGAACTGCTTTGCATGTATTGAAAACAGCAAATGAGGCCCTCCTGCTTGCAGGCTCTGTGCCCAAACTGTAGGGGGTACAGTGAAGGGTGTGTTCTTGTCCCTGTCTTCCTCGTAGTGAATTGGAGACAGAATATAATGTATTAAATAACAATACAAGACTTAACGGTTGCAGGCAAGAGTGGTAGGTGTAAGACTAGCTACCTTTGTCACATTCACTGTGTGCTTTCACAGCATGTGCTGAACTGAGTGCTCCACATAGATTACTTTGTTTCATCTCAGTAATTCTGTGGGATAGGCACTATTATCTTCTCTTCACAGGTGGGGAAACCGAGGCATAGAATGGGTAAGAAACACACCTGTAATCACACAGCCTTGAAGCAATGAAGCTCTGTTTTGAACTCAGCTGACGTTCTTATCCACCACTCTAATCTGCAGTAAAGATAGCACCAGAAGGCAGTGTGTGGTGAAATGGTCACATGAACTCTGTAGATGATTTTTGTATTGTTTTAAAAGAGAGAAAGATCCATCATTAGCTGAACTGGTTAAGGATTTTGGGGGCTTCTGAGGCTTTAGCTAATCCTCAAAGGAGAGAAAGTCCTAAACTTTTCAAGTGGAATTTTGCAGTGGGTAGGGGAGCCTCAGGTGTTTGAGGAAAACAATAAATTCTTTTGGCTGCATTGGGGGATTGGAGAAAGAGGCTGGAGAATAGTTCAGAAGGATGGGGCCAATTTTTTGCGAATGTGGTTATGAACTGATTCTGTCATTGAGACAAGTCTTCCTGTGTGTAGCTGTTTTGTTCATAGAAAGGTGCTTATTTCTGTTATTCTCCTTGTCTTCAGTTGACTCAGGAGGGGCAAACTTACCTCGACAAGCAGGTGTATTTCCAGATCGAGATCACTTTGGCCGCATATTCTATAATCAGGCAGTTATGTCTTCTAAAAGTATTATGCAGGTAATTTCTTGTTAATGAGATGTGTTACTTTTTGCTTCAAATGTCTTTGATCTAGGTACTCTCAGTTGATTTAAAACAGAATTTAATACAGAATTTAGTCTTTTTCCACAAAAAAAACCTTTCTGTCTTAAGGTTATCTCCAGTCTGATACTTCTGTTAATTAGGGGAATACTGTCATTTGTAATAAAGATTATTTACCAAAGGAAAAAGAGTTTTTAAAAAGAAAGGACACTTGAATAATTGCTTTTTTAGGACTATACTCTGAAGAAACCCTAGTATATGTATGAGGAGACGTGTACAAGAAAGTTTGTTGTAGTATTGCTTGTTATAGTGAAAGTTAAGGAACAAACTAAATGACCATTAACTGGGAGAGTTATAAGACAATATTTAGCTGTTAGAATGAATGAACTAGAATTGTATGCATTAACATAGATAAGTCTCAAAAATATGTTGAGTAAAAAAATATAGTAGAATAAATGTATAGCCCATTGCTATTATGCAAATGTTAAATATATCAAATAATCTATTATTTATGTCTAAACATGTTCATGGGAATGATACACTCAGCTTTAGATCAGTGGTTACCTTTGAGGTGAGAGGGAGGAGAAAAAGACAAGGTAGGAGGTATACAGAAGTGTCAGCTGTACTGAAACATTTTATTCCTTTAAAAAAATTCTGAAGGAAATTTGGCCAAATGTCAAGATTTATTAAGACTGGGTATTAAGTAAAGGATAGTTATTTTACTATTGTAATCTTTTTTGTATGCTTGAAATACTTCATAATATTGTTGCAAATCCTTCGGTTTTGTTTTGTTAATTGAATTTCTTAAATTTGTAGTATTTTTGTTGCTAGTCTAATTAATTAGTCATCACTTGCAATTACTACATCTCTCTTCTTTATTTTCTATCAGTGCAGTAAGTCGTTATTATTTACTGCATTTTTTTTTTTTACTGTGATGTGGTGACCTTGCCTATCTCTGGGCTTTATTTCTGTAAACAGAAGCCAGCTTTGCTCAGTTTTGCATAGATGGCCCTTCCATTCGTTATCTGGCAGGAAGTTCTTATTATCTTTTGTTTTACAGGGAAAATTAGCCCTTTTTAGCTGGTAGTGTAATTTATATGGCTATACTAACCTTGCATTAGTTTCCCACGGCTGCCATAACAAATGACTGCAAATGTTGTGGCTTAAAATAACAGAAATGTGTTCTCTCAAGTTCTGGAGGTTAGATGTCTGAAATCAAGGCGGCAGCAGGGCCGTGCTCCCTCAGAAGGCTCAAAGGAGGGTTCCATTCCTTGCCTCTTTGAGTTTTTGATGCTCCCACATCCTGTTGGCTTGTGCTGTGTGGCTCCAGTCTCTGCCTCAGGCTTCCTATGGCCTTCTCCTCTGTGTGCCAGTGTCATCTCCTCTTCTCTCCCTTCTAAGGACACTTGCTGCTGGATTTAGGGTAATGCACCTGGGTAATCTAGAACAGTCTTATCTCTAGGTCCTTAACTTAATTATATCTGCAAAGACTTTTTGAATAAGGTCACATTCACACATTCTGGAAATTCAGGTGTGCACGTATTTTTTGAGTGGGTGGGGCACTCAGTCCACAGTAGACCTCTGCCACCTTGCACGCTTGTTCTTTGCTCTTTCTGTTCATGTAACTTATATGGAAACTGTATAGAACATCACCCATTTATTATGGAGAACTACTGTAAGCCAGGCACTGTACTGGTGAATAAAACCAGGTAGGGTTTCTGCTCCTGTCAACCTGAAGCTTGAAGGGCTTTAAAAATGAGGTCTTTTTAAAATTAAAAGTGTCCTTGTATTGTTGAATAAGCAGTACATGCTTATGATAAAAAAATCTAAAATGTCTAAAGGGCATTTGACTGAATGCCTTTGCTTTTGCCTCTTTAATTATTATTTACTAAAGATTTTAACATCAGTATTTCTTTAACTGAGCCACTTCTCTTAGCATTTATCTTTTATATTTCACTCTAATAAGTTTATAGTTAAGGTTTGCCATCCTATATTCTTATGAACCTTGTGGAATTTAAAAAAGAAATCTAATTGTTACTGTATTCTGTCCTCTGTGGTGCCTCTTTTCATCTTTTCCCCAGTATGTGAACTCTGAACCTGCTAACTACACTGAAGCGATTGCTTCGTACATTACTGGAAAAGTCAGAATATGTGTGAGCGCTGTTCTCTTGAAAACACTACTGCTTACTCTGTCTTTTTCATCCTGGAAAGAATTGTGCCTCTTCTCCAAGGCTGAACTTGTCACTTACAATCTTAATACTGGTGCCTCCTTTGTGCTTCATCATTTATCCCCTTTCTCTCTTTTACTTTAATATTTTTGCATCCACTTAATTGTGTTTCCTCAGAGCTAATAATCATGTTGACTTCCTCTTTTTTTTTTTTTAAAGGGAAAAGTACCAAAAATGATGCCCAAAGAAAAGGACCTTTTCTAGCTTCTGCTACTCCTTGATGGTTTTCTTCCTCCCTGAATTACCAGGTCCTTCCTTCCTGACCACTCACTCTCCTTAGAACCTTGCTTCCCCCAGAGGGTCCCACATACCTCCTGGAGACCAACCAGGTTCTCACTTGCACAGCCTGTTGGTTTTGTCATTTTTTCCTTTTCCTGAAGTTCTACCTTAGGCTTCATGCCACTAGTTTCGTTCTTCTACTCGCTTTATTTAATCCTCCCAACTGTACCCAAGAACTTGTCCTTAATGGTTCACTGAAATCTCATGACATCCCTGTCATTTCCAGGATCTTTCTCTGGTCCTGGCCTCCCTCCGCACCTCGCTTACCCTTAGAGGTTCTGTTGTTTGTGTGGGTTTTCGGCTGGTACCATAGGTTTGGATCAGACATTGCACACTTAGCTGATCCTGCTTGTTTGTTCATTCATCTGCACTCCTGCTGGCTGTTGATGGTGCTTCTTGTTCTTTTCCCTAGGATTGAAGCTTTGATGTTACCCTCAACTCTTATGCTTTTTCCTCTAATTAATCCTTTTCGGTCAGAAAGATATCTCTTCCTGATTTTTGTTATTTCCAGGAGCTCCTTTGATGCTGGGCAGTAGTAAACACTAAGAACCCTTTGATGAATGAAGTCATACTGGTTTTTACCTTTGGATTGGTCCTCTCCCCTCCTTTCCTACTGCCATCCCCATAGGTAGTTCAGGCCTTTTCTGTCCATTGTACACATTACTACACACTTAGTAGGTTATTCTTTATCTAGTTCCCTCATTCCAAACCATATTTTCAATAAAACAAACTTCAGACTTCTGGTAGCCTGGTACTTAAGACCTCATGTGATCTGGTTCCAACCTAACTTTCTAGCCGTATTGCTCGTGCACTGTAAACTGCTGTCAGTCTGAATCACTCACTGTTCATATGCACCATGCCTTTATAAGTTTCCGCAATTCAAACGGGTTGGTCAAAGTCTCTATTTTCCAAGGCACATCTCTGGGGCCAGCTTTTTCAGGAAAGCTTCCTAGAATCCCTTACCGGAAGTAATCTTTTCCTCCTCCCAACTCCCATAATTTTGGGGCTATACCTTACTAATGGCATTTATCCCTTTCATCTAGACATATCCTGACGAACTTCCCTTAATAGAGTCTAAGCTACTTGAGATTAGAGACAATAGCAATTAATGTTTATGTCTTAACACATTTACTTACTTAATAATTTATTAAGAATGAAACTCCCTGTAAGTATTAAAGTGATACCTAACATGCTGAATAGTTCTATTTCCTCTATTATAATGTACATTTTATTATTTATTTAAGATTTTGGCTTAGATGGACTGTTAAAAATAATTTTTTTGTATTTTACTACATAGGCAGTCACTGTTAAAACAGCATTTATGTTGTGTGTGCATTTTGATAGTGAGCACTGCTTGTTCCCTTACTTGTTCAGTTCCTGTTTTCCTCCCCAAGATTGGTTTCTATTTAATATTATTAACCTTGCCCATTGTAAATCCCTTTATCCACTGATTTCTAAGAAGTATGTCTCTTGACAGTCATATCTCTGTTCCTTCCTATATTTGTGTAGCTGTAAAGATGTGTCTAGCTTCCTACAGACCTTCCAGGTTAAATGATTTCGTTTTTGCACTTGAGAAAAGACAGTCAACTAGGTACTTATCTTTGTATTCTCTTCTGTTTCATGTTTCCTTACTTTCTGGTAGATTTTAGGACCCCTTGTTTGTTTTTCAAGTTTAAAGACTTGGTGTATTGGTGTCCAGTGGTCTTTCTTTGAGCCCATGTGCTGAGGATACCTTCTCTGTTCCTTCTCTAAATCCTTGCCCAATACCGGGATGTCTTGGAGAGGTGCTGCTTTTATTTTCCTGATGTGGTTCCCACGTTGCTACCTTTTTAACTGTGAGACTTAAAATTCTCTTCACAAGTGGGATCTTCGTGCTTCTTTTCTTTGAGTCTTCCATTACTATGCATTTCCCCCCCAGGAATGTGAATAGCTTTATTTTAAATAAGAAAGAATCAGAAAGAAGGACAGATAAGTATGTTGCTTTGTGTTAATTTTTATAGTCTAGTGAGAGTCTAGTCTAGACTGATCTTGGCTCTGATGCTTTAAATCTTTTTTGCTTTACTGTTACTCTTACTATACCAGCAACAGATGTTTTTGCTTTTACTAACAGTTTATTTGTTCTGAAATAAATGCTGTTCATCCAGCCATGCTTAGTTGCAGCTTCTCAGGCCTTTCTCTTTTTTTCTATTTTGTGTTTCTGCCTGTTTGTTCTTCTTTTTGGGGATGTACTTAAGATTATTCTCGTGTCCCTCTTTTCCTCTTTTCTAACTTTCTCCCTCTTCCTCCCTTGGCTTAGCTCATTTGTTTTTCCCTGTTTGTTTGTTTATCTATTTATTTAATTGAAGTATAGTCAGTTTACAATGTTGTGTCAATTTCTGGTGTACAGTGTAATGTTTCAGTCATACGTATACATATATATATTTGTTTTCATATTGTTTTTCATTATAGGTTACTATAAGATATTGAATATGG